GTTAAAGAGTCTTATTATTTTAGATTTATACTCATGTATTCATAGCAGAGATCCGAGACTCGCCGAGTTTCCTCGCCTCGCCACGAGGCGAGGCGAGGCGGCATTTTCTACACCGCGGCGAGCACGAGTTGACTTTGTAACTCGCCGAGTCGACTCGCCTATATTTAGAATGTTATTTTTGATGAATAAATAGCAAATCGATGTCGACATCTTTCAATTTTATGGTAAATTTTTTAGCGTATCTATTGGCTATGAAATTAAACTAATGGGAGGAATGAATGACTATTCATTCATCCGTACATATACTTAATCTATTCGGTCTAGTCCAGTCATTTCATTTTCGTAATTCACAGTGTACTTTGTTTATCATATGATAGATACTTGAACTTGAATGTATTACAATGTAAATATATTTCTAGATACGTATTATGTGTTCCAAAAACTCTTGTTCTTCTCCTGATGATATTATCGACGTCACACAAGAGAATTATGCAGATTCGAACAACGTTGGCTATACATTGTTGAATACATCTAAAATATCCTGTAAAATGATTTACAGTTTGTTGATACAGAAGGATCCACGTGTAATCTTAACCGAAAATACGAAGAAGCACACTTCAGACTGCTGGAGTCAGTTTAGATATCCTGCAATCATTGATGATAAAGGTGCTGTGGTGACAAAATTAGACAAATTTGTCTCATGTAAATATTGCTTTATCACATTTTCTTATAATAACAATAGCACTTCACAAATGAACAAACATAATTGTCGAAATTCACCAGTTAAATGCTCAACAAAATCTGATACAACATCTTCATCGTCTTTCAAACAAAAAAAATCTTATCTTTCACCTGTAATCGTCCAGGATCAATTAAACTGAACGAAGAAGAAAACAAAAAGGTAAAAAATCTTCTTGTAGAATGGGTCTGTATGGATATAAGACCTTTCTCGATTGTCAATGATGCAGGACTTCGATGTCTCGTTCAAGAATGTATTTCTTTGGGTATTCCACAACATTTACACTAATATTCCTTGCTTTTTAAATATTTTTTGTTTCTTCATAGGGGCCAAATATGGAAACATTCATGTTGATGATATATTATTCAGTGCCGATACTACTTCATCACAAGTAGCAAAATTAGCCAACGAATATCGTTCTATTATTCGACAAAAACTTATTGAACCTTTATCACAACAGGCTGTCACAATATGTCCTGATCTTTGGAGTGATTCTCATAGACAAGTTTCATATTTGGGAATTAGTGTTTGTTTTACAGATGAAAATCATCATTTTTTTGCGTATGATCTTTGTTGTCATCCTTACACTGAAGTTGATAAAAGTGCCGAAAATATTATTATTGTAAGCTCTAAATTTCATCATGTAGATGCTTTTACTTTTTTCTTATAGGCAATTAAAAAAGCTCTTGAACCTTTTGGTATTACTGATCTATCTCAAATAAACTTTGTTAGTGATAGAGGCCCAAATTTTGTTAAAGCACTTAAACCGTATTCACCAACATATTGTGTAGGCCACAGGCTCAATAATATTATCAAAACATGTTTTTACCAAACGGGCAAAATAAAATATAAAGCCGATGATTATATTACGAATGAAACAATTGAATCAGTTTGCTCATCAGATTCTGAAGACGATAATGATAATTATGACCGCTGTACTATCTTAGCATCTTCATATGGCTATGATTTAATTGATATCGATGCAATAGATATTCCATCATCTGCAGCTAATATCCTGAAAACAATATCATCTTGCAAAAATTTGGTAAAGTTTGTTAAACTGGTATGAATTAAATCACTTATTCATAAACAGTATGTAAAGGGCACAATAAAAAATATAGCAATCAAAATTAATTGAAAAAAAGATTTATATAGTTAAAGTTATTGAAAAGCTAGTCCACATGAAATTTACAGAAGAAAAGAATTTTGAATACAGAAATGTGCGAAGAGAAAATCGTTTTTAATTTTTTAAATAATAGTTTCTATTTCTCGATTTTTTTTTTTCGATACGTGATGTTTTGCTCTAATGACGTGACAAGGAATAGCACTTCACTAATATACGCATCTTTCTCACACATTAAACTAACTTGAATGTTTTTTTTTAGAGTGGATTGAATAAAATAATTCAGGATCAAGGTGGTGTTGCTGTACTGCAAGCAACGGTTGTTAGATGGTTATCAATGAGTCAACTTCTTGAATCAATTAATCGTTCATACCGACAAATAAAAAAGATTTTGGGAGATAGAAAAAAAATTATTGTTCTCGATAAACTTATAATTTTACAGCTTATTATTCTTTTACGACCATTCAAACATATTATTTTATTTCTACAAAAGGGCAAAGAACCCACATTACATCTTGTTACAATAGCGATTCTAACACTACGTGATGCTTTTAATACACATAAATCTTTATTGGAATATGGTCAAAGTTATCAAGCAAATCCATCAGGAGAAGAACTTGAGGAAGATGATGAATATTTAGAAGAAAGCGAGGGTATGATACATGAAAAGTATATAAATTTAATTATGTTTTCTTTTCTTTTAGGAGTGCGTTTTTTTCGTATACGTCTTTACCAATTACTTAATACCATGTTCGTGTTAGAACCAATTCATCTAGCTGCTACATTGTTACATCCTCGATACAAATTATTGAAGAAATGTTCTTCATATGAAGTACGTGAGTGTTATGCATACATTCGAACTCGAATGGCTCATATCAAAGCTAAAGAAAAGAACAAAACTACAAGTTCTACTACACAAGGACAAACTAAAACTACTGATGATGCAAATACATTTGAACCTGCTAAAAAGAAGCCCAAACGTTTCGGAGAAGACTTTGAAACAGGCAATGTAAGCGATGAATTTGATGACGAGCACGACGATGAATTAAGTAAATATCTTAAGCAGCGTATTGATATCAATTCAATCAAAGATAATCCTTTAACGTTTTGGTATGAAAATCGATTCATTTATCCAATATTATCACAGCTTGCCCGATCCATTTTTTCAATTCCAGCCACGACAGCGAATGTTGAGCGCCAATTCAGTGCCGGTGGTTTGATAGTTAATTCTAGACGTACTCGTTTAAATCCACAACAAATAAACAATTCATTGTTTATACGTTCAGTAAAAAAAAATGAATGATTGTTATTTATTTATTTTGATTTAATTTTGTAATTTTCTTATTTGTTTTTTTTT